GCTCTGTACTCTCTCTTCCTCCTCCTGATTGGTCACAGTTGTGAATGACGTTTCCCTGTTGTCAGCGCTCTCCCGATGGGGACGACGGCAAAGCAGGAAATGGATCGATTCTGGGAGAAGAACACCCGACTGAGCCGCCCCATGTCACCCCACATCAGTATTTATGGGTAAGTGGAACCCCCGAGAGGCGGCCATGTTGTCTGTGTGTGAAGTGGATGTAATCCCGACTGGATGACGTTTGTTGCGCTGTGCGCGCCTTGTCTGTGTTCTCTCTGATGTCTCAGTGCTGCTCATCTCCTGGAGCCTCTTTTTAGCCACTTCCTGTCTACATGCACTCGCCCCAGTGTCGGCTGCACCTCATCACTGCTACTGCTGGTGGCCCATAAGGCCCTGATATCCCCGTAAGGAGAACCTGTCACTGCACAATACTGTCTACTAGACCCCTGATGTGTCTCCATAAAGAGCACCTGTCACTGCACAATACTGTCTACTAGACCCCTGATGTCTCCACAAAGAGAACCAGTCACTGCGCAATACTGTCTACTAGACCCCTGATGTGTCTCCACAAAGAGAACCTGTCACTGCACAATACTGTCTACTAGACCCCTGATGTGTCTTCACAAAGAGAACCTGTCACTGCACAATACAGTCTACTAGACCCCTGATGTGTCTCCACAAAGAGAACCTGTCACTGCACAATACTGTCTACTAGACCCCTGATGTCTCCATAAAGAGAACCTGTCACTGCACAATACTGTCTACTAGACCCCTGATGTCTCCATAAAGAGAACCTGTCACTGCACAATACTGTCTACTAGCAATGCATCCATACTAGTATTGGTGCCGATACCGAGTATTTGGGCGAGTACTCATACTCGGTATTGGCGAGCACTGAAAGAAAAATATCGGTACTTGATACCAAAAAACCTGTATCAGTGCATCCCTACTGTCTACTACACCCCTGATGTCTCTATAAAGAGAGCCTGTCACTGCCCAATATTATCTACTAATGTAAATATTATAGTAGGGCAGCACAGTGGCTTAGTGGTTGGCGGTTCCGCCTTGCAGCACCTCTTTTACACGTGCTGCTATTTCAGTTTGAGTTCCAGGGACAGGGTCACTTAAAGGAAGAATCCGTTTTGTTTAAAAATAAGTCGTGTTCCCTTTAAGCCCCGGGCAGCATTTATCAATGGAGCGTCTGTATCAGAACAGAGCCCTGTGAGAATTCTGCCGCAGTGGGCTTTTTTCTTCAGCGCTGCTCGCCAGGGAAAGTCGGCCCTCCAGCCGCCAGCCGCGGCGCATTGTTTCAGTTCCCAAGTGGTTGCCAGAGCCGGCCTCCCTCCGCCCGCTCGCATACCAGAGCCCCGCAGCTCCATGAATAACTCTGCTATCTGGACACAAGGGGTGAAGACAAGCACACGCTCTGCGGCTCCCCCTCAACGCATTCCTGGCGAGTTCCCTCTCAGAATGTGCTCACTCTGCCCTCATGGGAACGTCCGTGCCAGGGCTGCCCACCCTTCATGTATAGAAAAGCTTCATTGCTGGGTGACCTTCTATTTTTGGGTCCAGGTTCTGGTTTAATGACGGAACCCCGATACAGATACGGGGGCTTAGCCCCTCACCTACAAGTTCTGAAATAGATGCATACCCCAGCATTGTCCCCTGCGTCCTTCTTGGTCTAGGACCAAAGTCATCTTCTGGTTAGCATGACAGTCTGGTCGTTCTGCCCACCTATAGGGCCAGAAGAACCCCTCCAAACGATTGGGTTCTACTGAAGGGTCCACTTAATACTACATCATTCAAAGACATTGTAGACACTTGAGCTCCTCCAACATTGTCACCAATTTGGTGAAGATCCCTTTCCTGTCCCACCATGACTGTCCTCTGTGTACAAAGCCAGCTCCATACCGTCATGGTGTGACCAGCTTGGTGTGGAGGAACTGGACTGCCCTGACCTCAACCCTACTGATCACCATTGGCAGGAATTGGGACGTGGAGGAGGCCGGGGTGGAGTACTCTATATACACCCGATGGGTATTTCAGGGTATTTTTGTAGCCCTCAGGCTCTCTATAAGCAAATTATGCACGGAGTGTGACTGAGGAGGACGCTCTATAAACCTGATGGGTGTTTGGTATTTTAGGGTATTTTTGTAGCCCCGCCGCCCTCCATATACACATGTTATACACAGAGACTGAGTGAGGAGGACGATGGGGTGGAGGACGCTCTATAAACATGACCGGTGTTCGGTATTTTAGGGTATTTGTGTTGCCCTCCCGAAACACGCATTATACAGTGTGTGACTGAGGAGGACGGGGGTGGAGGACGCTCTATGAACCTGATGGGTATTTGTGTAGCTCTCTGTCCTCCATAAACACACATTATACACGGAGGCTGAGTCAGGAGGATGATGGGGAGGAGGACGCGGTGTTGGGTATTTTGGGGTATTTTTGCATCCCCACCCCCCATAAACACACATTATACACAGTTTGTGACTGAGGAGGATGGGGTGGCAGAAAAGGAGGATGGGGAGGAGGACGCTGTATAAATCTGATGGGTGTTCGGTATTTTAGGGTATTTTTGTATCCCTCCCCCGCCCTCCATAAACACACATTATACACGGAGTGTGACTGCTTTGCCTGTGGTGTGAGTCCGGAGTGTGCGTTGTGGCCTCCCGTACAGCGAGCCGCATTCTTCTCTGTTGTGAAGATAACTTCCTCTGACGCTTTGTCTTTGCCCAAGGCCGACCTTCATTTTTCTTTGTTCTCGCAGATGGTCTTTGCCTATGATGATGTCCATCACCCACCGAGGTACCGGCGTCGCATTGAGCGCTGGTGAGAATCCTTCCCCATCTCATTATACAAAACCCAGATTCATCAGACTCCGGAGGTCTGCGTGCTGCATGTTGTAGAGGGAAGGGACCCCATGTTTGTTTTATATCTGACCTCCGTCCTCCCCTTCAGTCTTCTATCTGACCTCCGTCCTTCCCTTTAGTCTTCTGTCTGCCCTCCCCCTTCAGTCTGACCTCCCCCTTCAGTCTTCTGTCTGCCCTCCGTCCTCCCTTCAGTCTTCTGTCTGCCCTCCGTCCTCCCTTCAGTCTTCTGTCTGCCCTCCGTCCTCCCTTCAGTCTTCTGTCTGCCCTCCGTCCTCCCTTCAGTCTTCTGTCTGCCCTCCGTCCTCCCTTCAGTCTTCTGTCTGCCCTCCGTCCTCCCTTCAGTCTTCTGTCTGCCCTCCGTCCTCCCTTCAGTCTTCTGTCTGCCCTCCGTCCTCCCTTCAGTCTTCTGTCTGCCCTCCGTCCTCCCTTCAGTCTTCTGTCTGCCCTCCGTCCTCCCTTCAGTCTTCTGTCTGCCCTCCGTCCTCCCTTCAGTCTTCTGTCTGCCCTCCGTCCTCCCTTCAGTCTTCTGTCTGCCCTCCGTCCTCCCTTCAGTCTTCTGTCTGCCCTCCGTCCTCCCTTCAGTCTTCTGTCTGCCCTCCGTCCTCCCTTCAGTCTTCTGTCTGCCCTCCGTCCTCCCTTCAGTCTTCTGTCTGCCCTCCGTCCTCCCTTCAGTCTTCTGTCTGCCCTCCGTCCTCCCTTCAGTCTTCTGTCTGACCTCCGTCCTCCCTTCAGTCTTCTGTCTGACCTCCGTCCTCCCTTCAGTCTTGCACAGTTGTACCGGCTCATCTGATGTCACTGCACACTGTGAGCTTCTCACAATGTGCATTAGAAGCTGCAGCAAGTCAGATAGAGCTCCGCCTCATTTCCTGGCTGGAGGACGTCCAGCATCATCTAGGACATCCCCCCCCATCCTCACTGTCCCTGGCCCCGCCCCTTTCATTAATTGGATTTCAGTTCTTTCAGTCATGAAGGCTCAGCATCACATGTGGGTGTGGCCTAGGGCGGTCTGCATGCAAAAACAGCGGAAACACCCACTCCTCCAGACTGAGATCCGCCCATCGAGCCATTTTGATATTTGCCTAACTCCTCACAAGAGCCAGCCCACTGCTTGCTGAGGGCTCTTGCGAGGAGTACTGAGGCAGGGTGCTGTGATGTTTTCAGAATGGTAGAGTTGCCGGTGTCTAGGAGGTGGGTGAGTTGTAGTTGAGTGTCAGCCTATAACTGATCTTCTTTTCTCCTTGTCAGGCGTGTCGCTCTTCGGTCTGGCGGCCCTCGTTCTCCCCGGGGACTTTGCGTCACACTTGGAGTTGGTCAAATCCCTCAGCCTGGGCCCGATGCTCATATACTCTGCAAAGTTTGCCCTGGCCTTCCCTTTCTCGTTCCATAGCTGGAACGGCATCAGACACTTGGTGAGTGGCACGCTGGTGCCCGGAGATGACGGTGGAATGTACATTGTATTTGCTGCTTTGGCATTGATCGGGACACTGAGCTCCTCCGAGCGTGGAAGGAAGCGCTTTCTGCTGCTGCCGCCCAATCAGGGGGATGCAGGGATGTCATTGGTCTTCTATGGCCATGTGGCTATGTTTGCTCAGTGACGTTGGCCTTATATGGTCACGTGGCTATTCATCAGTTACATTAACCCTATACGGCTATGTTTGGTCAATGTTATCGACCTTGTATGGCCATGTGGCTGTATTTGGCCAATGACATTGACTTTCTATGGCCACATGGCTATGTTTGGCTAATAACACTGACCTTTAATGGCCACATGGCTATTAGTCAATGACCTTGACCTCCTATGGCTATTAGTCAATGACCTTGACCTTCTATGGCCACATGGCTATGTTTGGCCAATGACATTGACTATCTATGGCTATGCTTGGCTAATAACACTGACATTCTATGGCCACATGGCTATGCTTGGCTAATGACATTGACCTTCTTCTGTGGCTACATGGCTATTAGTCAATTAAATTGACCTTTTTATGGACACGTGGTTATGATTGGCTAATTACATTGACCTTCTGTGGCCACATGGCTATGTTTGGCCAATGACATTGACCTTCTATGGCCACATGGCTATGCTTGGCTAATGACATTGACCTCCTTCTGTGGCTACATGGCTATTAGTCAATGAAATTGACCTTATATGGCCACGTGGCTATTAGTCAATGATCTTGACCTTCTATGGCCACGTGGCTATGTTTAGCCAATGACATTCACCTTTTATGGCTATGCCTGGCTAATGACATTGACCTTCTGTGGTTACATGGCTACTAGTCAATGTCCTTGACCTTTTTATGGCCACGTGGCTATGTTTGGCCAATGTCATTGACCTTTTATGGCCACATGACTATGTTTGGTCAATGACAGTGACCTCCTGATGGGATGGGTGGCCAAAGGCACATCAGTTTTCAGGGTAGCTCAGGTTCTGACTGGGTTGGGCCCAAACCTCAGCTCATCTCTAGCATTTGACACTTTTAAGAGTATTA